AAATTTCATCGAAAAATATTCACCGGTTTTCAAGATATTAGACTTTTACTTTTGTTTACTTTTTGGGATCTCCGCTGTTCCTAGCGACTTTATTTGAAAGTGCGGCATTTGTTGCGCGCAAAGCAGCATATACCACCGCGTGCTGTCAAACGTTTTAGTAAAAGATTTAAAAATCGTTAGATCTCCGCTGACGTCACAAATTCTAAGGGGGCATACCAATGCATTAGCCCCTTAGAATCCGAAAACTGCAAGTTTGAAATTCCATATCTCCGAATTAAAGCATTTTTCGATGTTGTGAATGCCCAAACCGGTATTTTCAGGCCATGGCCACCAATTTTGCTATCTCAACTCAAAACTAATGTTAAGGTGGGAGGGTCCCTTTAAAGGAAGGGTGCCACCTTTTGGACACAACGCAGTTTTTACAAGATTAGCCTCACATGAACCTAAAAACCGGCTTCACTTACCTATGCTCGAGACGGTCAGCATTGAATCCGCACGTGAAGTTATCAATTGCGAGTTTTGCTGCCAGCATTCGGGCAGGCAAAAATCTTCAGCACTATTTCCTCGTCGTGTTAAGGGTATTTTATAAAACATGAAATCAGCAAAGGTATGTATAAAAGTTATACTTTTGAAGCATGTTTTATCATTTTGAAAGGGTATATTTTTTCTTTATGGTATACACTTAAGTTTTAAAATTTTAATTGGGAAGTTTTTCTAGTAAGTTGCATGAAGGGTGAAGGGTTCCATAGATGTAAAGGAAAAACCTTTACTCGACTTATTTGATGTTCTTTAACTGTTGGCAAATATGGCCAACAGTTACCTACTTGGTTACTTACAACTTAGTTCAAATCATGTTATCTTCTTCCTTTTTATTTGTTCATCTTTTTGTCTCAGTTGCGCCATCAATGCAAATGGCAGAATGATATGTTGCCATGACAACAGGATATGCCAGCCGTCCTAGCTGCCACATCAAACGACCTTGAGTTGTAGTGGTGATATAAACAACGATCTTTTTTTTTTTGGCCAATGTATTAAATGCAATGTTTCGGTTTTTTGTATATTGTGGACGCGCTAACCACGTCTAAAAATTCAAATAAGTAAAATAGATTCATAGAACAAAAATTTCGGAAGGTGGCACCCTTCCTTTAAGTGCTACAATTGAATGTATATCATGAAAATATATGCAAACCACAGCTTGAGCTAAATTACAACGTACAACTTACGAAGGTACAGTAACATATTTAGACGTATGGCGGAATGTGGTGAAATAACAGGATGTGGCGAGTTTCGTCTCGTGTCCGTGTTCGTACTCCGTGATTTCCCTCACGGAAGTGTCAGCTGCCTGGACGAACACGGAACACATGAGAGGCTTCTGACAGGGCCTGGAGGTGGCTTCCAAAGCCAGCGTCCGAAGAAGCCCTCCTTTCCACGTGATGGTCCCAGAAGGATTTGCAAGCGACGTTTTGATCTTTTACCTAAAATGGCTTCCGATAAAGAGTGATGCATATGTACGTACACAAATGCTGCATATTCATCAGCCCCGGCTAATTTGTGTTGACAGGCAGGTGGGGCGACAGACCATGTATGGATGGCTCGTAACACGATCTGTTCGCGCTGATATATAGGCTTAGATATACCCGACAGGTCGGTGGTATACGAATTACGATACTGAGGTGCTACTGGCTTGCAGCGTGCCATGCAAAACAGCTTGCTTGATCAAATGAAAGTTAGATTGTTTGTTTGAGTTCATGGTCCCAATCCCTAATGCACGGCTAAGTTCAAACGATAAACGTTGGAAGCACATGTGCATTAATTAGGTATATGTAGTTTTAAACCACCTTTCCGTCTTTTCCCAGGCTTAGGGCAACCATTTCCTCCTCCACGCCTATAACCCCTGATCCGAGCTGGATGGTTATTTTTTTCCGACGATGGGTATAGCTGCTCAGAGGCAGGCCCATCCTGCAGTGGGGGTGGGCTGACCGTTAGCGGGGCTGGCTGGGCTATCCAGGCAGGGGCGGATCCAGAAAATCTCCAAGGGAGGGGCCATTAGAAACCAGGAGGCCCCCCCCCATAATCCCACCTGTTGGAGGCCCCATCTTCCCACTTGTTGGCCCCCCCCCAAAAAAAAACTGCGTCTATTGAGCTTATCTAGCTGTTCAGGCAACATCTCAACATCTGTGCAGGCTTGGAGGCCCTCTGTGCAGGTTAGGAGGCCCTGTAAAAGTGGTCATCTCTGTGAGTATAAGAGACCTCCAAGTTATGAAAAGCTTTACCAATCTTCTAACAAAGAAGTCTTCTCAGCTAGTCTTCTAAGAGATAACTAAGTGGGTAGGTTAAAAAAAACTCATCGGATTTCGGACACTTTATTTTCAGGAGGCCCCCTTTTCAGCTTTTCAACTTTTTAACTTTTTATTTTATTTTTGAAAAAAAAATCGGCCAAGGGGGGGGGCCATGGCCCCCATGGCCCCCCCCCCTTGTATCCGCGCCTGTATCCAGGTGACGGGCTGAGTGAGGTCGGCGCTGAGCTCCGGTGGCGCACCCGTTTGCCCGACCAGACCAATGCCTCCGGTCCCCTCCCTTTATCCCTTGGATCCTACCGACTCTGAAGAGGTTTCGTTAGCCAAAAGGGGCGAACTCTACAAAAAACAATGTTTTAAATAATAAGCTTTATTTTGACAATGTAACTACCCAAGTCTAACAGAAAATGCGGCAATGCTAATTGCTATTGTAAGAAATGAAGACACGTACCTAACTATTTAGAAACAAATCAAGAACACCACACTTTTACGTCACCATTGCAGAAGCAGTTTACCAACTTAAGAATTTCAAGTAATAAACCCAGCAATCAAAGCAAAATGGCGGCATCTTAGATACACTTGTGACAGAAACCGAGCACACAAGTTTCCAGGATCTGTGTGCATCGTGGTGTGCTTATGAGCACTATTTCCTCCTACTGTCTGCCTGCACTTATAACGATCTTATCCCTGCCTACACCCTTCCTGCATAATGATTGCAATGCCTGCACTTTTTCACCCAACTACCTGCCTTCGCTATTCCCGCCTACGGCACGAAGTTGGCCGGTCTGAGCAGCATCTGGGCTCGCTGGATGACTTCAAGACCGAGCTCTCCCGGCCACAGGAGCTCCCACTTGCCAGTCGACTCGTTCAGCACTCCGTTCAGGTTGGCCTGCTCCCCGCCCTCCTCGTAGCCCCACCAGCCCCCGAACGTGCACGGCAGCCCGCAGAAGCTGAATCCTTGGTGACCGGCCTCGGCCAGACCGTCGGTGGCGTTGCCGGATAGCTTGACGAAATCGTAGCGGTTGTCCCGTGCGGAGACCAGCTTGAGGTCGTAGGTGGCCGTCGTGAAGCTGTCGCCCTTCCAGAGGTCCACCCGCAGGTGATGCTCCTCGCGCTTCACCAGCATTGCGATGGAATCCAGTCCCAGCCAGTGCTCTCCCATTGCGTACCCGAAGCCTGCTCTGAAATCCTCCTCCGTCTTGTCGAATGAGGTGTTTTCACCTTCGCCTCGCCTGTGTATCATGGTCCAGCCTCCACCGTCAGTGTCCATGTCACAGATGACGCCGACCCGACTGCCAGCCGCCTGCACTTGCCTGTATCCCGACCACGTTTCCCCCAGCTTCCTGATGGCGGCGCAGTCGGGCGCGCGGCCGCAAAAGCCGGCGGCCTCTCCGCTCTCCTCCCACCAGCAGACCTCAGAGAGCTCCGGTGATCCGCCGCGCTCGAACCAGGCGCCCTCCTCGGCCGGTGGCGGCGTCTGCGGCGGCGCCTCCAGCTTCCTCTGACTGGCCAGGCGGCAGGAGAACCTCCCGCTGCTGAGGAGCCCCGCCCCGGCCGCCTGGCAGCGCGTGTCCATCAGACACAGCGAGCGGCAGTCGCAGGTGGAGGCCGTCTCGGTTCGGCGGTACACAGCCTCCTCAGCCGGCGGCCAGAGCGCAGACTCCACAGAGGTCAGAGACACGGCCCCCGGGGCGGTGTCGGACTCGGACTCCAGACCGGCGGCGCAGGCACACAGGGAAGCCAGCAGCGTGGCGGCCACCGGACGGCACATGACGAGCCGAGAAGGGCGGAGTGCTCCGGGAGAGGGATTTAGAGGGACTGGCAGTTGCGGAGGGAAAGATGGACAATCGCGGGAGGCGCCACAGCGAAACGGCAGCAGTCCTAGAGGCTAGCGAGTCGCGGCAGATGCAACTGCGAGCTGCTAGCAGACTGAGCTTACGTGCCCCAATGTGGTCAACTGCATTTTCCAGGGCCCCTGCACCTGCAATGCAATTTTAAAATGGCGGAGCAATTGTTTGTAAGGGCCATATAGCAATGTTCACCAATTGACGCTCATAACATTTGCATATGACATTCACTACACTATCGATTTTTCATTAAATTATCTGGTCTTTCATATGTTATGATTCAGTAATGTTAACGCGAAGCTTGCACAAATGAACGTTTGAAAATCTACTAATCAAGTCAATGTTCCGTTCCCCGTTCTTATGTGATATGATGGGACCATTATTTGTGATATTCACTATTCACTGTGACAATGAAAATATGAATCCCTTTAGTTTCCGCAGAGTGAAGCGGAAAGGGGTTTATTTCTTTGATTAATTTCCCCAGAAAGTTTTCTTGTTCTTCGCGAACGTTCTGAAAAGACTGGGTACTTGGTTCTAAAAAACATCACCGTGCTTAGCACGTCTAATAAGTAGGTAATTTATTACACTATGGTAAAACTCTCCCGCGCTGATTGTTAAACTTAAGACCAAAATCCAGCGTTAGCTCAATTTTTACAATTATAAGCATTGTTTTACTAGTTTAACTGTTTTTGGTGGTGGGTGGTTTGTGGTGCTTAATTGTTATCGTCTAATAATTCTCGCCATGCTCGACTTAACTTTTCAATACATAAATGGCATGCCTGAAATACATGCAGCTGTCGTTTAGAACTCTCGGTGTATAGACCTTTCCTCGTCACTTAGCCTGATAAACTTGCACTGATTTATCAAAGTGTATTCACATCGGAGATATATACGACGATAAATTAGACACGTTAGGCTCACAATACATCGGCACACATGACTGCGTGACCACGAAAACAGCCGTGGCCATACACAAACACATAACAACGACCACAGTTTCATGCAGCTTGCTGCGCACATAACTCGCCCAGAGTTTCGGTCCATCATCCACACATGCTCGCTCATTGCAAAATAGCGGCTCGATATCAGCGCACTCACAATACCTCTTTGGATAACTCGGTATCCCACGAAACACCTACCTCACTTGTCACACGAATTCACATCATTGCTGCATCACATGGCATTGCTATCAGCGGCCCAACTCACCGCCCGGGCATCACATGACGTCAGCAGTGACACTGACAACATCCGAGCGTCCTGTCCGTCAGGTCACTGCCCGAGGAGTCAGTCTGGATTCACATCACCGAGTTCAGAGGGGCGCGCTCTCACAACCCGGACCGACCGACCGAGCAGCGTCGATTACCCGCGCGTTGGAACAGAGTACCGCTGAGCTGGCGCCCCGGCCGGCGGAGACGGAGGTGACCGCCGCCGGGGGACCTCGGGTCAGTGGTGACCTCGGGTCAGTGGTGACCTCGGGTCAGTGGTGACCTCGGGTGGCCGCTGTGGGCTGCCGCCGACCTCGTGCAGAACCTTGCTGACCGGGGTCGTGAATGTCGTAATACACGACGTTTGGGTCCTGAAACAACACCGGTCCACTCATGTCAAATTATGATAAGACTGGAGGCCAATGATAAGATTATGAAATAAGCGCTTTAATGTCGATAAAGGCATGCTATCAAACTAACAGTTTTTGACGGGCAATGGACCACTGAATGTTGCGAAGGCATGCAATGGCTGGTCATTTCCCAACATGCAATCAGGCAGTATGGTGTCCGTTTGGTTCAGCTACCTATGGTGCTTAAACTGCCGCATACGGCACATCAGACGGACATTGGATGACCCGTAAATACATGTGCATATACCTACATAATGATAATTCGCGTTGATGTGCAACGGTGGCATGGCTCTACAGTCTACAACAGCATTGCATATATCAGCGCCAGTAGTTAGCTGTGAATATCATGGAACACGATAACACAAAGAGTGCCTTGTGTGAGCTGTCGCTAGCTAACTCCATGCATTTCAGTCTGCGTCTGTGTCAGTCAAGTCAGCTGCCACCATATAAAATCGATCCCAAAAGACACTTCTATGAACTCGCCACTACCCACGGCCCATCCGTCTGTGTCAAACCGCTGACAACTTTATACGCGGTTCCTTGCTGAGTCTGTCACCGCCCGTGCCACGCCCGGCGACTCTATTAGAGCGGCTTTGTCACGGATCGCTCGGTGTGCCATCGGCATCATTAGTCGTCATTTGGATGCCCCCTGGGTGGCCAGATGGGACGCGCGCCGCCATAATGTCGGCGGGGAGGCGCCGGAGAGGTCGGTTGTTGCAGGCCGCTGTTCCTATGCCGTGGGACAGGCGACGCCCTCCCTTTGTTTGACGGGCTTTCGGATGGTGTTTGATCCATGCAAATGGGTTCGTTATAGAAGCAACTTTTGGGGTCGGTTTGACAGAGCATTGTATTTCGACTTTAGGGACTAGGGTACAGCCAAAGTTAAAACTGTGACTTCATTAGTTCCTGTAATCCGCTAGGTAATTCGTGTGCTGTTTATGATGATAAATGCTCAGAATGGGATTATCTACGGTTTTCCCTCATACGGTACAGTCGCCTTCAGTTTTATTCAGACTCGTGTTCTAGGAAATAATTCAGACGAAAATAACCAGTATCTTGGGAGGCTCGAGTCTGGCTCAGCCTTTGGGTCAATGAATAAGTAATCCGTTCAAAGCGTCTCGACTACAGAAGGCTGTTCTGGGATGCAATTTTCATCTAAATGGAATCATGGTGAACACGAAATGACATTGCTGAACCGCGGACACAAGCGTCTATAAGAAACAAAGATGCATTTTATATCACTGAATGATACATGCATCGACAAGTCAATTGGCATTTTTATTTTTGGGTGGCTTAAGTTTTAAAAGTGTTAGTTGCGGTTACTTTTTATGAAAACGTTAATTAAAATGCTACCGGTTATCAGTAATGTAGCATAATACAGGGTGTTCCAAAAAAAGTGAGCCCCCTAACTAAGATCGACTGTATCTCCGCAACCGTGTATCCTACAGCTTTTGAAAGCCGCTCATTAGAAAGAGCAATAAAATTCCATCCAGATAGGTCGTAATTCTGTTACATAGCTTGCACAACACGACCAGCATTGTGAAAAGCACAATTCAATACCAAATTCTTAGTGAAATATTTAGCGGTAACGGATATGGTTAAAATTTCTTCACATCTGAGGCCTGTTTCACTAACAAATAAAACTTGTATTTACAAAGAAAAAGCTTGAGTTTACAAGAAATAATTACCAACATTTGAGATTTGGATTTCACGAAACCTTTGAACATGAATTTTGAGATTAAAATTTGCAAACTTTTTTACAAGAAAAAGTTTGCTAGAAAACATGGGAATCGCAAACTTTCTGTTTCACGAAGACCAGAAACTTGAAAGAAAACATCGAAATTACAAACCTGAAATTCCAGTGGTCCTGACGTTCGGAATTTTGATACTTTTTGTGCAATAATGCAAAACAGTCATATATTTAGAACAACTATGAGTCGTTTCATGCTCAATTTTTACTTAGCACACACCCTAAGAAGCAAAATAATCGGTATTAAAATATCGTCATGTTTTGTCATTCGCGCGCCATAATTGCATTCAACAGTCTTCTGCTGTCAAATGTTTTGCGTGTTATTTTCTTTCAATAATAGGACAATGTGAACTATCATTTATATCTTTTTCCAACAGCATCATTATTTATAATTTAATTAGGCAGCTTTTGACATGAATACTAGACAAAATTTGATAAAAAGAAGCAATATCTTTAGCATGCTATAGTTCTTGATTAAAAACATTTTTACTGTTTACAAGTTTATTTGCAAACATTTTCTTATCGGAGGTGCCACTGGCGATGAAGCTTAGTGAAATCGGTTTTTACGTAGTTGGTAAAAATACTTATGAATTGTAAACTACAAACACTTGTAAATACAAGTTTTTAGTGAAACAGGCCTCTGACTGCATATTTCAGCTCACGTGCTTTTATTCATTCTTCGCGCGTGAACTTTTATCATAAAAAAATTAAGACTGAATGGATGACCTAGTTCAACCAGTATTTTGACCACTCCAATATCGGTCGTGCGTTGCCGTCAGCAATACACGTTTACCGCCGTCGCCGTGTTTCACCCGATCTCGCAACACATTTTGTTCTGGTCGTTCTCGGTGTAATACGTAATCATTCAGAGCCACACTAGGTAGACTACTAGAACCGAAATTGACCGTTCTTTCCAACAAGGGGTCTCTCATTATCGTAGGACATACGGTTTCGGAGATAAAGCAATATAAGTTAGGGGGCTCACTTTTTTTGGAACACCCTGTAATATTTCATGGATGACGTGGGGATAGGCAGTTATGTTGTCTGTATTATGCGCCATTGACAACCCGACGACTATTCACTTTCTGCGTACCTCTCTATCTCTAGAACGCCATTCGCCAGCTGTTGCTCTTCTCAAAGAGCTTGTCGTCCCGTTTGGGGTCGAAGGTGAGGAGCTGAGTGGCGCCCGAGCCGCCGGTCAGGTGCGGTGACAGCGTCTCGTATATGCTGTCCCGGGACGAGGAGCGTCTATGCCGCGGTCGGCCCGAGCTGTACACCAGCTGCTGCTGAGAGCCGCCGCCAGTGCCCTGCAGTGGGAAGTCGTGGGCCGATAGCGTCGAGTAGTCGTACTGCAATCGTCACACGTCACTCGTCAGGGGCGTCCGTGCAGCGGGGCGGGACCGTCACTGGGGTGCGTGGGTGTCGGGAGGTCACTAGTCAGGGACGTGCAGTAAAGCAGTGCGAGCGAGTGAACCCGACGATGGAGTGCATGACTATTGACTATTGACATTGGCATTTATGAAACTAGTTATCTGCAAGCATGGCGTTTTTAATGTGCCATAATCATTCATTTATCAAAAAAGAGGAGTATCTTACTTTGAGGTAGGAATAGGGAAATCATGTCAGCCAATTTGGAAGGATAGTAGCCGTTTTCACGACGGCCATCTGGTACACATTTGGTGCACATCGGGTGCATATTAGGTGCATATTTGGTCAAATTAGGTTTCGTGACTTTTAGTAGCTATCAGCTAGGGTTACAATTATTGCTTATACGCCTGCTTTTATCATATTATCAGAGAGTATCATCGATTAAAACACTGAAATAAATTCATAGAAAAAAGATATTTGCTGTAAAAGAGATTAGGTGCAGATTTGGTCAAATTAGGTGCACTCGCCGGATAGCCCGTCGTGAAAACGGCTAATTTGGATCCGAACCAATATGCACACTCAGCTGATGACTCGAAAAAGCGGGAGAATAGGGCGTTTAGCATAGATGAGGGGCAATGGTATAGTTTTAGCTGTGGTCTAGTCTATGTGACCCTTCATAACTGCAGACAAGACACCGCCTTTTCTATTCTATAGTACACTATAGTCTAGCTATTCTACGGTGTTCAATCCAGTTAGGTACATGCGTATCTACAACTTGCATAAAAAGCACATTCGATTTGTATATAGTCGGACCAGTGAGTTGCAAACAGCCGGGACCAGCAAATGAAACAGGTATATAACGATTTAATACATCTCGATGCTCGTCGTTTTTTTCCTTCAATTTTTCTCGTTAGTATGTAGTTAACCGAAAATAAGTGCTGGTCACAGCGGTTGCAACTACCTGGTCTGCCATTCGCAATCTCTACCACCTGCCCTCTCCAGGCCAACAACACTCACCGCCATGGACCCCCGGGACCGGGGCCTCGTCGGGCCGTCGTCATCGACAGGCGGGTGGGGCAGCGGCGTGCGCGCGCTGCGTCCCATCGGCACCCCGACTGGTGGTCGTTCACCAGCCACCGAGTAGGCGGGCGTCATGGAGCGCAACACCTGCGGCGGGAACGGTCCGCGGCCTGCAGTGGGGGGGGGGGGGGATCGGTTAGTGGGGCCTGAGGGCGATCAATGATGGAGTGGGGGTGACTGCTTAGTTTTTTTTTCTATTCTAGTACCTATTGAGTTACTGTTTAACTACAGTTTCTTTATTCGATAAATTTCACTTACTTTTAGCTCGTGTTTTACATTATTATGGAAATTATCGTTCATAAATGTGCAACTGTTTGCTAATAAAATGCGAATGAGTTATTACATAAAAATAAAAGCGTGGTTTCAATGCCTTGCATCGGGATCCTCTACCGATATGGCACAGCTCTAGCCTCCAGTGACTCTCAACACACCTGCCCTGGCGAGGTTCAGACTGGCCGGGCCGTCCTGCAGTGTTCCCGGCAGGTTTGGCTGCGACGCGTACAGAGGTACACCTCCCCCTCCGTACAGAGGCTCCGGCTGAAACGGGGGAAGAGCGTGAACTTCGAGCCACTCCCATACAACGGGACAATATTTTGATGGGGTGAGTGATGATGGGCGATGTTATTATAGCTTTGTTGCGGCATTATTGTTATGCTAGTTGTTATGGTAAATACAACTTTCGTAGCATGGTGTTAGGACTCACCGGATGCGCACCAAAAGAGCAGTGAGCGCTGCATGAAATAACACGTAATATGATTTTGTTAAAAATGTTAAGCTTAGTCCAACTTTATGTCGAGTTATGTTTGAGCTGTTTTGCAAGAAGAACCTGGGCTTACTTAAAAGGTTCGCATCACGTTTAAACATATACAATGATTGTTTATATTTGGAAACGTACTACACACAGAAAAATATTAACACCGTTAGCGGTGTAATTGCACAGTACATATCTGAGCACTTGAGGAAAGTTAATTTAGTCCCTTCCCCGCTTACATTACTCGCGCTTATAAATGAACACCAGGAAGAAGGTAATAGAACACTGTTAGGAGGGTTGGGTGTTTTGCTACATGTAGTAAAACACCCAACCCTCCTAACAGTGTTCTATTGCCTTCTTCCTGGTGTTCATTTAGAAGCGCGAGTAATTTAAGCGGGGAAGGGACTAAATTAACTTTCCTCAAGTGCTCAGATATGTACTGCGCAATTACACCGCTAACGGTGTCAATATTTTTCTGTGTGTATAACAGCCCTCATTGGGGAGAATGGGAGCTGCTGAAACACATGTCAGACATGCCAGATTAGATCATGTCGCGGGCATCCAGCCAAGCCCTGCCAAAATACATTAAGCGTTCAGTGCACCACACATTCATAATGCACGTCAGTTCTTAGTTATCAGATGTTATCATCTCATGTCAGGCAGTTAACGTCCATCAACAGTCAACACATGCACGCCCGTTAGTCGTTCGTTTTGCTGTTTAGTTTATCGCGGTCGTCCTGACGCCCAGCGACATTGCGCCAGCTCTGTTCTGTCCAACGGTCTACCGCTGGTCGCTGTTCGCTTCTGGAAAGTCCTTTCCTCAGAGTTCCCTGCCGGAGTGTCGCCGAGGTTCCACCATTCGCCACCGCCGCTTCAAGCAGACCCAGGGCGCCGCCGCCCTCACTCCATGTGCCTGCCTGCGGTGCCGTGCGTGCCTGGTGCCTGCATGCCCTCACATGCGCGCGGTACTAACTTTGTCCGCCCGAGAGGCTCTACGGGAGGCATGCTGGCCGCGCGGCCGACGCGGGCGCTCGGTGCGGCAGCGGCGCTCTCTCGCCGGCAGTGGCAGAGCGGGCCGACCACTGGCGCTCGTCCCCGGCCGAGGGTTAGTACTAGTAGTTGGGCCCGGGTCCCACCAGGTGTCTCCATAGTCGGGCGAGGGGGTCGGCGGCGGCCCGACCGGGCGGCTACTAACTTTTTCCGCTCCGCCGCCGAGCGTTTTCTTGCTGGCTCGGAGCCGGGCCGGCAGCCACCAGGGGCCAGCTTTGGGCGGCGTCTGGCGCTGCTGCGGCGGTAGGGACAGGGTGCGGGAGAAGGTCTGCACGGGCGCGCCGCTGCCCGAGTTCCGACGGGAGCGCGGCGCGGCCACCTGCACAGGAGTCAGGATGTACTCGAGGGAGGCGTGCACGGGGGTGGCGCGGCCGCGCGCCAGGGATAGGTGCACGGCGCCCGGCGGGTAGCGCCGGCCCGTCGACCGGGTCGAGTGCACGGTGCCCGTACGGTTCAGGGCGGGAACGGACGCGTACATGGAACTGAACGGAACCTGTGAATGCCAGAGGTCAGCCGTCAGCTGGTGAAACGGTCGGTTGTCGTCGAAAGGAGAGAGGTGAGAAGCGCTGCTCAGAGAGTCAGAGAGCGGCAGAAAGGAGAGTCTGAAGTTATACACAGAGAGATTAGTCGACAGAAGAAGCAGCGGACACAACACTGAGCGAGATGAGTGGCGGTTAAAGTGAGTAAAGCACACACAAGACATCAGGCGGCACCGCCATCACAAACACAGCTACGACACAGAAACTACGTGCGCCAGTGAGACGTGAGTCGTCCGTCGCGTGCAAGTCTATGTCACAAATATATACAATGGTCCAATCCGGTGGTGCGGTCGGCTGTCTCCAGCATTGAAGGGTCTATTCTCAAGCTCCCGCCCTGTCCCGCACCAAAATCCGACCTGCCACCAATCCAACTAGTGAGTCGTACGTTGCCGTATTCGAACTTTGGACCAAACCTGAACGATGTCGTACTCGTATCCTCGTATTCCTGGCTACTTCGGATAAACGGCAAGATTAACCCGCGAGTTGCTGGGGGGGGGGGGCGTTAAACGCCCCCACTTTTTTCGCTGGGCCATAGCATAAAAACGGCGCGCCGCAGGCGCGCCAAATTTTGGGTACCTGTAGGGAATTGATTGAAGTTTATTGTGACAAAGTTTCAAAAAAATCGGTCGGAAAATTTTTGAGATATCGAGGTTTTAGTGACGTCATGATTTCTGAGTTTTCGACCAAAAACGGCATATGTTCAAAAAATCATATAAAATCACAGAAAAGACATACAGACATGCCGTAAACGCCATTAGACTGCCAATACCATGATCAATCAAATGGCTATCTTCGATTATTGATTATCGTTTAGCATTTTCCAAAATCTTGAACTGAATCTTGGCAATTTTTCGTGACTACTTCACGACCATGATACATGAATTTCTTAAATTGAACTTTTTGAGTCAAACACGTACACATATGATAAAATGAATGTCACCATCGTGCTCTACGCCCCAAATTACCTATAAAACATGTGTCACAGGCTGCGAATATCAGTTTTGATTTTCGGGCATATGTGCCTACCCGGTTGACCTGACCTTGACCCTGACCTATGCTTGACTGACCCCTATATGGAGCTGACACTCTTGTAGGCCTTATAAGATGGATTGTGCACCGTTTTGACAGAGTTTATGGCGAGAGGCGCCCATTGTGAAGTCCTGAAGTCCATGCTACTGAAAGCCGGATTTCAGGTGTTTGACCTGACCTTGACCCGACCTGTGACCTCAAAATTCAACTTTAAAGTACTCATCTGAAGCGTCTCGTCGCGCTCTTTCGTTTGCCGCCTCGTGCGTTTCGCTGCGCCTTTTGGTTCTCGAGTTATCGGCTGTGGGCGTTTAACGCCCCCCCCCCCCCAGCAAACGGTGGGTGGCGAAATACTATATATGGCCTTGGGCGAAATACCCCAGCAACTGCCGGGTTAAATCACTCACCGCGTACAAGTTTTGGCGGCCGATGGCCTCTGCCATTTGTGCCCACCGCAGTCGTTCTTCCACGCCCATCTGGAAGTTGGCGTGAGCAGCCGCCGCTGCTGAGGGCTTCATGAAGGAATACCCGGAGGCGGCGCCCAGGGTGCCCATCTCGACCTTGGTGTGACCCTGGCCCTTGTGCCAGCGTTTGCTGAGAAACACGGAGAGATAAGTCAGGAGACATTGCTAAAGAGCTCTGAGATCCGGTCAGTGCTAGAGAGAATGATAAGCGATTTATCGTCCTCGTTACGTAATGCACTCAACTCAATGTTGGTTTTATATGTAAAGTACAAGGCGGGAAATTCGCATCCAACAAACGGAACTTCGCTCAAACAAACGTCAAGAACACGGAAAAGGTACAGACTTATGGGTTATGAAGAGCTAGGTCCTTCAGCTACGATTGGTCGAGGGCAGGCTCAAGGCTGGGCATCTGTCGAAGACAAGCTGGTCTAATCGTGCAGAAATTACAAAACAAAAGTGCACCTACCTCCACTTGCAGAGGCAGATGAAGGTGGCGATGATGATGACCGCTGCTGCGGCGGTGGCGCCGAGGGCAGCCCCCAGTACCTCGCCGTCAATTTCACACTGCGCTCCGTAGTACGCCCCGCGACACCTGACGGAGAGAAATGGACGGTGGGATGTCAAACGGGGCACAACTGGTCTTCATGTTACGAAGACAGCAGAGATGAATTGTCTGCTTGAGAAAAGTCACTACTTGTGAAAGATATTCTGAGATTTTGGGATGTGAACACGTAATGAGAAGAATTACGTAAAGTGCACATCTTTGCCTCGGAAAACATAACACCACTTTGTGAAACAATATTATTTCAACAGAGAAAAAAAGGAATAGCTAAGGCCAGGCTTTTGTGGATTAGCAGGAGATCACTGCAACAAAGATAATCTGTAGCCATCGTCTAAGATTATACAAAAACCGTACTGAAGATCGGAAAAGTCAGTGAAAGTGCCATAAACCGCCAAATCCTTCTGCCCACATCCTTTCATTTTCACAGACATTTTCCCTGCGCTGATCTCATTGGGCAAAGCACGGTTCTCGTATTTTCCGGCAACCGCGCGCGGGGAGCCCGCAGAAGATTGCGCAACAAGCACTGGCCGGATCTCCGCGGGCGCTGCCGCTGTCTGGAACGTGACTGGATGACGCACCCCGGCCGCACTGGCGTGAGGAAACACCGCTGACCCACTAATTCCAGCGCACAAGGTCACCGGAACAGGATCATAGGTAACGCAAGTGATACGGAACCGGACCCAGGGATGAGTAGAAGATATCGGCGCATGAAACTGAAGACGGACGGGAAGATAATCTCATTAGTCATTAGCTTGTCTCAGACGCTCCGAATTACAGAAACATGTGGCATGTGTCTGTTAATGATGTCGACTATGTCGTGCCACTTTAGGACGGTATGAGATGATATAGCGTGTCACGGATTTCCGACCATATCAGGACGGTATGAGCCTTGAGAGACGTTAGTGAGGAAAGTGAGACAGGATGGAGACAGGATAGTGAGACCAAAGCGAGACGAGTGACACATGATGGTGAGACACGGCTAACTCACTGGCACGTTTTTTCGCCGTCGAAGATCTGGCACGTGCCCCGGTCGCTGCAGTAGTCGTCAGTGCAGGAGTCGCAGTAGCGACCCGCCTTCTGTTCGTCTTTCCGGTATCTGTCCAGAAAAGGACCGGAAGAGTGGTGAGTCGTTCAACTGATCGAAAATATAACAAAACAGGCAATTCTGCTGTCTCAAATCTGTATTATATTCTGGTTATTTATAAGATTATTGACCATTTTGACTGCAGTTTGTGTATTTTTCAAGTAAAACTAATCCACGGAGACTGACACACGAACACTGGCGGATCCTGGGGGGGGTCCACGGGGTCATGACCCCCCCCAAAAGGTCTGAGAGGGTCATTTGACCCCCCCCAAAAGCCGAAGACCTAAATGCGCTATAGACGCCGTCTTGCATGCTCAAAATCACCTGTCAAACACTTCTGAGCTAATACTTTTGTTTTTCTGGATCGTGTTGCGTGAAAAGGCGTATTGAAGACCAGAATCTTACTCGTTTTTGTCTCAACCGTGCGAGCACCAGGGGATGATCCAGGAAAACTCCAAGGGGATGGTCATGAATTTAATTCGTGGTGCCCCTACCTATACGCAAAATTAAAAACTCAACGGATTTCGGTCACTTAATTTTGGTGATGTCCTATTTTCATTTTTTATTTTGTTTGTTTTATTTTTAGTGCCCCTGGGCCCTGGCAGGTCAAAATCACGTCTGAGGCGAAAGAAATTCACGGGAATCCCAAAAATCACGTCAGGACATTCAGGGCCCTCTGACCAGCCTGACAGCTAGGGCCCTTCTTACTTCCTGGGGCCTCCAGTGAATAACCGCTAGTGTCTGTGTCTGACCGCTAGGGCCCCTCTGACTCCTCAGTAGGTAGGAGGCCCTCTGTAGAGGAGGTCCTCTGTAGAAAGGAGGCCCTCAGTAGAGAGGAGGCCCCCTGTAGAGAGGAGACCCCTTTAAAGAGGAGGCCCTCTGTAGAGAGGAGACCTGCTGTAGAGAGAAGGCTCTATGTAGAGAGGAGGCCCTGTGTAGAGAGGAGGCCCTCTGTGGAAAGGAGACCGCCTGAATGCAGAAGGCCCTCTGAAGAGTGGAGACCCGCTGTAGAGAAGAGGCCCTCTGAAGAAAGGAGGCCCTCTGTAGAGAAGAGGCCCTCTGAAGAGAGGAGGCCCTTTGCAGAGATGAGGTCCTCTGGCTCTTTGAAGAGAGGAGGCCCTCTGTAAAGGAGGCCCTCTTAAAGGGAGAGACCCTCAGTAGAGAGGAAGCCCTCTGTAGAGAGGAGGCCCTGTAGCTTCTGTAGTTAAGAGGCCCTGTGAAAAGAGGAGGCCCGCAGTAGAGATCGGTGGTCCTCTGTAGAGAGGAGGCCCCCTCTGTGTTTTGACAAATGTTTTTGCAAATTTTTCGCGGCGCTTCGCGCCGCCGATTTATGTACATACGTACAGGTCAATACGAAATCTTGACTGTAATTACATAAACCAACCGTGTCAAATTGAATCAGAATTCATATGTGTGCTGTAAAGGAACTCCGGCTTGTACTGCAATGCTAAAAGGGTGGTAAAATTTGTGTTTTGGAGCTGTGTTTCGACACATTCTTTTGCAAATTTTCTCGGCGCTTCGCGCCGCCGATTTATACACCAATCAATAAGAGAGAAATAACAGTGACTGTAATAACACCAACCGTGTCAAATTGAATCGGAATTCATATGTGTACTGTGAAGGAACTCCGGCTTGTACTAGCATGCTAAAAAGGTTGTAATATTTGTGTTTTAGAGCTGTGTTTTGACAACTTTTTTTTGCAAATTTTTGCGGCGCTTCGCGCCGCCGATTCATACACAGGTCAATAAGAGAGATCGTGACTGTATGCTACTATTTACTAATGCATTAGGCTAAAAGTGAGGTAACTATATCTACTTCTGGGTTTTTAAGTCGGTCGACCCACCTCCCCCCCCCCCCAGTAAAAAATCCGTGGCGACGCTCCTATATAGGTGGGTTTCACTAACTAAAACTACTGAGCCGAGTGACTTACGATAAAACTTCATCTTATAAACGACGAAGATCAAATGTCATTTTTTGATCTCGACATACTCGCTCCCTACCCCCCCCCCCCGGTCGTCAGAATTCATTCACCAGACCTGGTATGTCGGCCGACTGGTGACCCCCCCCAAAACGACCCCCTAGATCCGCCACAAATTGTCAAAGAGCGAGCCGCCAATGACGAATTTGTCGTCACTGACTGACCTGTCGTCATATCCGGACTTGCACCTGCAGGTGAAACTGCCGAAGACGTTGCTGCACTCGGCATTCTCGTCACAGTCGTGCTGGTCAGCGTTCTCACATTCGTCCAAATCTGTACGGGATGGAAATTATCCGATGAGACACTATAATGAGAACTGAACGAAATTATCGCCTGTTTTCGTGAAAATGAGGTTGTTGTGAGTATCATCGGTCAGGAATAAGGCTTGGTAGGATAACCAAAGAATACTTCCACTTCTGGGAAAAAAATCATGCAATGCAACTTTGTGACCAACTGAAGACACATGATAATGACGCCAAGTGTAAGCCACCGCCCCCCCCCCTCCGCGCTCCACCCCTCCGCTCACCGAGCACTCTCGGCACCGGACTGCTGGGTCCCTCGACAAAAAGGCTCGAGTCGCCTATGAGGTTGTCGTTGGCGCGGATGGCACGGTTCATCTGGCGCTGCAGCTCGTCGGTGACCTGCTCGCGCCGCGTCTGCGTCGTGTCCAGCAGGCTGACCGTTGTGTTGAGCGCCACGCCACCCCGCAGCAAGTAGAACGACGTCACCTTGTTGCCCATGTAGATGTCCCGCATCGTGGTGCCAGACATTGAGGTGGTAATCTGCGAGAAAGGGCAGACATAATTAATCATAGATTCGCTTTTGGTAGCACACAAAACGGTACCAGTGATGTCCCTTGAATAGATCTGGAGAGCAATAATGAAATAATATGCTCTTCTTCTAAAAATGATTATTTCGTAAGCGACATATATTCATTCCAAAACGTCTTATTATGACGTTTAAACGCCATTTTTTGGAACGCCAGCGATAGGAAGTTCGGAACAATGGCATGGCTCAACGGCCGTCTTCCAGCGGCCCGTTTCCAATATAACCGCACCTCAAACCGGGCACTATCGTAGACAGGTGCTACAGCGTACTCACAGCGTGTTCGGCATCCCAGGCGAGTTGCTGAAACACCTCCGAGTTGGGGTTGCGGAGCGCCGCCTGCCAGGCCAGCCGGCTCTCTCCGATACCGTCCACCTTCATCGTCATTACCACGGAGACCACGCCTGCGGGGGGAGGGGGTGTCAGAAATGCGGAGGCTGAATTCAGGGGACGGTGATGTGCCGACATACACAAATGGATCGTTATATAACATATATGACACCCTAGTCAGCTGACATGACTACTGCAACCGAGTGGAGAGGCCTCCCTAAAAAGCATCGGCACCATTTGAATTGGTGACGAGCACCAGCTCTGCCTCGTGTCCTCCGCATCAGCACCTCGCTTGTCTAACAGCACAAAACCTGTCTGGTATACCTACGACTGCGCAGTGACCCAGTTGTCACCACTGATCAGCCCGTGACTGGCACATGAGGTCCTGAACAGCCTCTCACCGTCGTCAGACCAAGCAGTGCTGACCTCTGCTGGGTCAATCCAACCATCAGCCCAGTCCCACGACCCCCAAATGGAACACTCACGTTTACAGGCTGTGCGCGGCCGGAGCCGGTTAAACCCGGGACGGCAGTGACACGAGGACACACCATCCTCGGTCTTGCAGCGCTCGTTGTATTCCCGCTTACACGTACTGTCGTCTCCGACAATGCAGGTGTCGATTCTGGTGAAACACAGCAGATCAACTATAATTACAACTTCCGAACATGTGCTAAACGTGAGCGAGAACACGCAACGGCCAGAAGGCTAATGCGGCAAAATAAACTTTCTCTTCCGTGCTCTCTTGTAGTTTAGCTAGATAAGTCCTATGATAACTGTAACAAGTACGTGGAACTAAGCTGATAAGAAGAAAAAATAGCGCTAGAATTGGACGTTCTTATGTTATGTAAGCAGACAACAGACGGCTCGTAGATCTATGTGCGCAGACTAACCGAATGGGCGGTGGCGACGGTCGCCGCCGCTGCCCGGGGTATATGGATGCTGCCTGCTGAGGCCACTGCTGCTGCTGCTGCTCCGGCTCGGCAGCCGGCTGCTGGGGCCACTGCGGCGGCGTCTGGTAGCTGGGCTGGGCGCTGGGCCGGTAGCTGGGCTGGGCGCTGGGGCGGCGCTGGTCGGTGCTGGGGCGGCGCTGGCCGGAGCCGGGGCGGCGCTGGCCGGTCGGAGGGGCGCCCGGACCCAGCCCGGCACCCACCGTCTGCAGCGAGGGGCCACGGTCAACGGAGTGGTCGGTGGGGATATTGTACGCTGAACTTCTCACCACAAATAAACTGCTGAGTTTTTGGAGTTCATTTTCCACCCAATGCTCAAACAGATATCTACAGATAAAAGTGACAAAATAACTGATACGAAAACGGAAATGGAAATAAAAAAGCTTGTAAAGGCATCACCATTCCCTATCTTGGTTATCAAAATCACGATAAAAACGTGCAATCTCCCCGAAACTCCTTAGATACCAAGAAACAAGATATCCCAGATCTCATGTGGCTCTTATCAGGCACACCCATCAGTTTTCCGTCTGACCTGGTAGGTGCCTCCGGCGTTGGTGTCGGTCGGCGCCAGGTCAAAGTAGGTCCGACGGCCGTCGATCGACACCACGTTGTTGACGGCGTCCGGTTCGGTGATGATGTCGCCCGGACCGCGCAGGTTGTTGATGTCCACTACGAACGACACAGACAATTGTTAGTTACAGGATAGTTACAGGGCCCACTGTATGCGCGTATAGAATTTAGGGGTCGTCCCATGAAAAATGGCCGTTATGCACAATAGTTTACAGTCTTGTAGTACGAATTGCGGGTGACTGATTGCATAGCATTTGACCTATAACCGGTTTTATCGGAGAAGCAGCATAAAAAATATAACGCTCGTGAGACGAGGAAAATTTAAGCGAAGGAATACGCTGACCGTGGAGCTAGACCACTGGCTAACATCTATTTCCAAAATGAGCAATTTTTCGTAACAATAAGATCGAAGCGTAAAAACGGCACCACGGATGTAGCTGGTTATCAGAGACAACCAAATGTTGCGACTCGAACTCGACTTACCGGGTATGACGTAGGGCTGGCCGGAGGGCGGCTGGGGCCGCGGCGGCCGGCGGACGGGACCACCCCCGAAGCCGCCCTGCGCCGCCGACACGGTGATATCGAACACATCCCCCAGCCGCTGGGCGTTGATGACCTGCGGCCGGCCGATCTGGGGCCGCGGCGGCCGGCGACGCGTAGCGTCCACCACCACTCCGGGACGGGCGTCCAATACAGAGCCGGGGAAGGTGCCCGTCGGACGGGACGAGAGTGGGGGCGTGGCGGACGAGGACGGCCGACCGGGCCTCGCGGGGCGGTCCCCGAGCTCCGGTGGCGAGCTCTCCGAGCCCGACAGAGGCACATTGGCCGTACTGGGAATCTCCACCCAATCGTCCCGTGTGGGCGTCTCCTGGGTCGGCTTCCGCTCAGGGACCCGCTCAGGGGTCCTCACAGGTGTCCGCTCAGGGGCCTTCTCAGGGGTCCTCACAGGTGTCCGCTCAGGTGCCTTCTCAGGGGCCCGCTCAGGGGTCCTCTCTGGCACCCACGGCCTGTCCCGCACCGGCCCCGGTCCCGGTAAGCGCAGTGGGCCGTCAGGCGTGAGATCGCTGTCGGCAGGACCGACCGGTCTCGGCGCCGGGGTTGTCGTCACGGTCTCGTCAGCCGTATTTTGCGGTGGGGTCGCGACCTCTTCCGGTCGCGGCGCGGCGCTCGGGCGCGTTGTCACCTCCGGCCCGGCTTCCGTGGTGGTTTCTCGCTCCGTCGACTCGACTTTCTCCTCGGAGCTTCCTCCGCCTGCGCCACCCTCCGCTACGACCGCCGCCTCCGTCGTCTCTGCCTCCGTGGCCGGCGGCGGCGGGGGCGGTGTTGAACTCGGAACAGCAGTGGCGACCGGCGCCGCTCCGTTCGTCGCCGTCGACGAAACTGTCGACGGCGACGGCGTGAGCGTCGGCGTCGCGCTGGGCGCCTCACTCGACAGCTGATCTGTGACGACCGTCTGTCTCACTGAGGTGGCCACCGTCGGCGACACTGGGTCATCTTTGAATGGCACCAGCCTCTCGGGCAGAGGAATACCGACGGCGTACGGCGCTATCGGCGGTCTCTGGGGTCTGTTAGACGGCGGCGGAGGGGGCCGCTGGCCCGGCCGCGGCCGCAGCGGAGGTGGCAGGTGACTCGGGTACGGCCGCACCGCCGGGCGCGTCTTCACTGGCGGCGCCGGTCGGTTTTTCACCGGCACAAACTGTTGCGGCGGGCCGCGGTTGTTGATCCGAGTCGGCAGCGGCCGGTCGCCACCGGGCCGCGGCCGGTGGCGGTTCGGTCCCCGATCGGGCGCGCGGTCGGCCGGAGGGCCCACGAGCCGCACGTTGTCACCCAGCAGACTGATGATGCTACTGAGCACGCTGTTGACGTCCGGCTTGCTCTCTCGGCCGGTGCGCGGCTCGGCGTCGAAACTGGCCTCTGGCTGCCACGGCGAGGCGGCCGTCTGTCGGGTGGTGGTCGCTCCAATGACGGTGGCCGCGCGAGCCTGCCGCTCCGGCTCGACACGGTCTGAGGTGTCCTGAGTACCCCTCACGGACGGCGTCACTGAGCGTCTCACCCGGTCGGACGGCTGCACCAGCGAGACAGGCACTATGGACAGCCGCTGACCTGACCTGACCTCCAGCGGCGAGAGGTCAGCTGGCGCCCAGGCGGCCGGCGAGTCCGATATCACAGTGGCACTGGTCAGCGCGGGACTGGTGTCCCCACTGACCCCGCCCTCCACAGCACTGTCTGATGAGGCGGCGACCGCGCCTGCCGCCACCGTATTGTCTACAGCACTATCTGAGTGTTTATGGTCACTGATATCATCACTCAGTTTCAATCGGTTGCGAACCGGCTCTGCATTTGAGGATTCTCGGGGATATTCCACGAGTGTTCCGTCTATGGAGGACACGGCTTTTCTTTGTGAGTTTGTTGAAACGTGACTGGCTTCCAGAAGACCTGAAACAAAAAGAAACGTTTTTGTTATTGTCATCGAGCAAAGCACTTATACTGGAATAAATGTAGTGAGACTGAAATTAACAGGCAATTCACACATGGTTTGTGGGTGCCCAGGTCACCTCACAAAAAGACAAGTCACACGAATAATTATTCAGTGGGAACACATATGCCAGGCCATCGCACGATTTCTTCGCCGAATTTCCCTCGGTCCCTAACGCTGACACGGTTAATCCCGCCCAGTGATTACACGGCTGACCTCTCGAGACGCGTGGCCACCCCGCCTCCCAAACAACGGTTCACAGTCGACCCAGGCTGTGGTTTGGACCTCCCCGCTCACAATGCACCATTATTCGATAAACTCTGGTTTGAGCTCTGTTCATCCGCTTGTGCGTTCACAAGTCGCATACACAGGAGCGACCTGTGGGCGCGGGCCGACCGCGCGGCAGCGGTGATATGTTTTTGTTCGGGAATTGAGGTCGCCACTGCCGGTGACATCAACAGAGAACAGGACACGACCACCACCGCGATGGGAACTCGCGCGAGCCGCCACGGCACGACGGGTCGGTGGGCGGCCGCCCTCCTTATACGTGCGTGACACACACAGTACCCGATGCTACTCAGCGGTCAACTGAAGCCATGACAATGCAGTGAATTTCAGTCACATCGGCACTTACGCATCACTCTGCCACTGCAGTATTTCATTCATTTACTGCGGAAAATGGATTCAGTGATGACGTACACTGCGTTAATTCACATCTTAAATCATCTAACTCTTCTCTCGCCAGCACGCACATGCACGCGCCAGTCACTTATGACCGCATTTCTGAGTTTCGAGGAAGCCCGAGCGAGCGCGTGGCGTGTGCCCTCCGCCCACTCCAACTCCAAAGTCCAGGCCTCATCCTGGAGCCGCCCGCACTGTTTGACGGCTCCATAGAGCCGGTGTTGGGATCCGTTACTCTGTGTGTACAACACATGACGCTCCTCGCAGCAGCGTGTCGTATAGCGCGTGTGTGACGCAGAAGTGTCGGTCACCGCCCGCTGATATATAATACGCCGCACAGACGGTGAACGTTGTCCAACGCTCGCACCAGCAACAGCGTTGGCTCGTGGCCTTTCGATGTGGTTGACTGTGAGAAGCTCATTTTAGCTAGCTTGCCTAATTAGCAGTGATGCGCTTCTAATTAATTGCAAAAATATAAGAAATAAGCACTAGCATTGATAAGTGGATAGTCGACGGTGCTCAGTGGATAATGGATAGCCTGCACTGGGCAGATGTGGATACTGGACAGTAGATGGCCCGGGGATGATCAGCCGCCAGCTCGCACCAATGTGTGCCGCTCCAGATTGTCGCGTCGCTGGCCGTCAGTGGACAGAGCAGCTGTTCCAGTTATACCGGGCCAATGCCGGTCCAACACACCACCCGCGTGAGACTGGCGGTCCCGTTCCCATGGGCCTGACCGCACCCGCCACCGCCGCCGCCGCCTCCCCAGGAACTATAACGGTGAACGATGGCGTGTGCTCAGGTATAATCTATAGCTCGGCTGTATAGGATGATAAAGCGCTACACGCACTACGCAGCTCATTTCTTCTGCATAAATGCCACTTTTAAAACAAGAGCGAATGACTGTTACATCTTTTAATTGAATTTCACCGATTATCGTTTCCCTTTAACCCGCGCCCCGTTGGGCTCTGCCGAGCAACGCGCACGGTTGGGGGGGGGGGGCATTTTGCCCCCCCCTAAGATCTCGAGAACCACGCAACATAGCGACAAGCGGTAAACGGCGTTGGATAGCCCCAACGGGAACTACCTTATGACCCAATTTTATTTTTCTAGGTCAAACCGATGACGTCACAGGTCAGGTCAAAGGTCCAATTTTCACCGTTTACAGGCATTTCAAGAAATGCGTTGTAAAATAGAGTAAAATGCATTTCATTGAAAATCATCGATGGGGAAATGTTCTTCAAATACATATTTTGCTATTTGAGGTCACTGATACCAGGTCAGGTCACAGAAGTCAGGTCACGGGGGGTCACAATATGAAAGTGTCGTGTGATACATGTTTTATGGTCCATTTTACATGACAAATGCGATTATGTGGGTCAGGCAGCCTTTGGGGCCAGCTTAGGTCACGTTTTGGTCAAGGTTAGGTCAAGGTCAGGTCAAGGTCAGGTCAAATAAGGTCAAATTTCAAAGTTAATATTTTTGCATAAAATGGGTATCGAATGGATGCAGCTCGTCACGGGGAGTTTAATGGTGGTCTTTGTTTTGCCGTACCTGGTCTAGAATCGCTAAAAATGGAGTTCAAAAATTTGACGTCATCATTTTTGAACAGTTTTTTCGCTATAACTTGGCCAAAAAAACGAGATATCGATCTGAAATTTGGTATGTATATAGAAGAGCGCTGGGACTATCACATATATTCCGTTTTTTTTCGAATTTCGGAAAAATTTTGGATTTTTTATTAGTTTTTCTAAAAAATCAATTTTTTGATTTTTTTTGTCAAAAAACAAAAATTTTGAAAATCCGACATAGCAGTTTTGTAGCGCCGCTTTTTGTCTACTAGACCATATAAAGCACTTTGAAATTGCTTGATAACTATAGATTTGGTGAGCGTTTCGAGATTGCATGTTTTTTGCTCATTTTGCTCGAACATGACCTCAGTTTGACCTCAATAACTCCTGACCTAAGGTGACCTAAGACTTGAAATTTGGTGTGAAGGTGTCAAATTGATACCCGGGAAGGTACTGAAAATTATGCGGCGCTGCGCGCCGCCGTTTTCTTGCTATTCAGGAAAAACCACAGGGGGGGGGCAAAATGCCCCTCCAACGGAGCGAGGGTTGTGCTCACTTTCTATTGGTCAACATTTAACAGTTACATTTCTAGCGTAGTTTTGGGTTTCTATTGGTCCAATAAAAGGGCTATTTGCACCACTTCCATCCGGGTGACGCGCAGTAATGTTTCTTCGCGTTATCAGCCGTCGGAGAGAAAACCGCCACCGAGTTATCGGTGGCAATTTTTGCGACTTTAAACTGAAGTATAAATGACTTGATCATGAAACATTGGGTTAAATGTCATTTCGCTAAGTTACTAGTGGTGCTTGTAGTGAAGCTGGTGTCACTTCATGGTGTTTCCGCTTTTTTCACCGGCGTTAGAGTCTGCAGGTCAACACTCGACAGCCACTATCCCGGGCGTGCCCAGTCTTGCAAAAAAAAAAACGTCTTCCGTTATCAACCGGGGGAAGTTGATACAAATCTGGCTCTGGCAAATGCAAAAGTCTCTGCCACATCGTGGCCACTTTCAGCTACCTAACTTGGCAAATGTATTAGAGGTTACCATCAGTTTCCTTTGTTCGATACCAATTTCATCATTTGCACGTTCACTTGGTTTCACTGATATCGTTCACATTCTTTTAGGTGCAAATCGACTCGCTGCAAATGAGGAAATGATCTGTTTCTTCAGAATGATGTCATTTTCCTGTCACTTGGTGTTTGGTAATGTCGGAACACATTTCGAGCTCCTGCTGGGACCCATAATGTCAATGAGAACACCCACAATATGATTGCATCGTCACACGACAATGTATACAAGCCAGAAATGCCCCACTTGTCTTTGTTATCTGCCTTTTCATTAACAACGGGTAGTCGAACGAACAAAAGTGTGTTGTCATCGCACCTTGCCATGGGCTATGGAATGGAAGCAAGACGTCTTGCGTGGCTGAAGCTAAATGGGCTGGCGGCTATTGTCGAAAGAGGACATCGAAATGCATCACTGGACAATTTAGGAAGTCACGAAATCGGAATAATCACTTCCTCTATTACGAGTACTGAACTTCTGGCAAAATTCAATGATGCGTACATTTAGCTGCATAAAGAAAGATACCCAAAAAGATACAGGAAGTGGAGTTCGATCGGTCGGGTAACGAACAGTCTCAAGAAGATAGCCACCCCAGGAGCCACCCACGTGCTGGGGGTGGCTGACCCTGAGGCGGTTGACCACCGTCACAGACCTGAGACCACCGTCACAATCTGTGACTCTCGGTCCACGTCCGCTGTCCGTCACAGAGGCTGTTGGCCTGAGATATAGCCACCGTATCTGATTCACGGTGTCAGAACAAAGCCTTTATCCGGCACGGTTTCGACACCGGACCATTTGGCGCACAGCCGCGCAGGGGTCTGCCACGGCTCCCTGGGCATTGCGCAGACAGAGAGCCAGACTGCGTGCCATCAGAGGAGTTCGCAGCCGCCGAGCTCCCATCGGTCATCGCGCGCCTGGTAACGGACTCACGGGCTGCCTTGATGTATGCTGCAAATAAAATAGTATACCTATTGTTTCTTGTGTCTATTTTATCCATAGCAGCTGTACATACATGCAGAGAAGAATATTTACGAATTCGCCATATTCATTGCGCTTCTTGCGACAGCTCGGTTTATTGAGAATAATTGATGTAATTAAATGGCTTATGTTTAATGTCGGGCACAATACCCATAGCACTATAGGCATCATGTGGTTCGTTATTCACGTTGCCACTTTCACCTCAACCCTGCGTACTCCTAACGCCCTGGCACGGTGTGTCTAGGTTCTATGGTATCATTTTGCAGACACCGGCGTTCATGCTTCCCGTCGTCATAGACATTTCCGCGCGTTACATGTCTAAATCACCGGTAAATATCCTATGAGGATCATATCCGTGCTTCAAACATCATCATCTCAGCCCTGCTGCGTCACTGATGAAACCACTGACATCCACGGCCCACGTAACTTCAATGCTCACCTCTATCCTATAACAGCTGATGTGGGGAAGGGAGGGCACTCTCGGAGGGGAGGGTAGGGGAGGGGGAGGGTTCGCCGACGCACCCGTCCGCCCGCGCCAACTTTCACTGGCGAGACGGACCGGTCGCTTCCTGCGGCGCTCGGCCGGCGAGTCGGGCAGGGACGCTTTCTGGGTCATGCAGCGTGACTCAGAAACGGGGAGCCGAGGCTGGCGGCTGGCAGTGCGGAC